GGGGAACACACTTGAGTTGCCTGCGCACTGTCTATGAGGTCACTGATGATCTCCTGCTCCTGTCATCCAGTTCCTAAGTTAGGTGGAAAGATTTCTGTAACTGTGCTGGACATTAAAGGGCTTTGGAAGCACACTCCCAACTGCAAGGACCCTGCTCTGCCTTCTTTCAGGCTTCAAAACTGAAGCTGGGAGGAAACAGTAGGGTACAAGACAGCAGAGGCTCAATAAGTGCCCCTGTTATCCACTATCCAAAAATGTCTTAGTTTTTCTTCCAACTCCAGAGGGGTAAAAGGCTGAGCTTCCTTATACATTGGATGGTGGATGAGTATCCTGGAATACCTCTGTTGTCCAAATTACCAGTTTCAGAGTGGAGTTACAGAGATGGGCAGGGAACTTCCATTTAACAGTGTTGAGCTTCTAAAGCTAATGCAACAGAAGGAAATTTATCCTCCCACTTCCATAATTCTATACTCAAGAGAAGAGTGAACTAATGTCACCCATACCAGGCAAAAGCAGCAAGCAACATTGTGGAATGTGGTTCATGATGATACCCACGCTATAGCTGATAAACACAGAAATTTCTGAGCTATTTTATCTCTGCCCTGACTACACTATCTCATCCCTGACCAACCGGACAGAGGTCATGGTTAAGCACACTATTAACTGGACTATCTGGTAGTTGTAAAAGGTCCATGTTGCAGAAGGGTAGCCATGGTAGTCAACTGCAGCAATAATGATACTGTGCAACAGAATGGACAAGCATGCAAAATCCTTGAAGGCAATATGCCTTGTGGAGTTTCTTGTCACCTGGACCCCATGAGGGGTACAGAGGGGTTGTTTTCAAAGCTGCCCCCATGCCATGCACTCTACCATATTCAGACAACATGAGAAGCCACACACCCTGATAGTAATTAAGTAAATCAGACAGTGCATAGCCAGTAGTGGAGGTGGAGAAAAGAAGCCACCATGGCTTCCGTCACCCACATACTGAAAATGTGAACCTAGTCAGAGACTAGTTTCATGCAACACACTTAGCCATGGAAGCTTATAAGCCAATTTCAACTTGTTGTGTTGTCTGAACCCAGCCACATGTTTTGTTGACCTTTCTGGGTTCAGACAACACAACAAGCCACTCCTGTGTGATATACATCTTTGAGTGTTAGGGTAAAGTATGTCTCCACAAACCATCCTGAAAAAACAACTGTGACTCAAGTGCTTGGGAAACACAAACCTATTTAAACCAAGTTCTTCAACTTTTACTTGTTTCAGTTGTTTTAGTATATATTTGCTTGCTTGGACTCATGGGCAGCATTATACTTATATTATCATCTGTAAGCATTCCATTATGTGTAAGATATGCAGGTGAAATAATATAATCATGTTCTTATAACTGGAACCAGCATTGGTCTGTTTACTGCTGCTACATGCTCAGTTTGTCACATGTTTTCTTAAATGACAATGGCAGCTTACTTTCTACTCAGACTATTCCCTCAGTAAAACCTGAGTTATTACCTTTCCCACAAGGAGGTGAAGAAATGCATCACATACAGAGAGCAGGCTTCAAGAATTAAGTACATCACTATAAAAATTTAGCTGAAAATGGCAAACCTAGTAAAGACTGAGTTTGCTTTCTTTCTAGTAGCCTTACTTTCAGCATCTGGTATTTTGGTAGAATAATGCTGGGGAGGGGAGATGTGGATGTATCTTTTTACATAGAGATGCCAACAATAAATCTGAAGAAATATGGTGGTAAAATCCTTATATATTTTGGTGGTTATAAACTTACCAATGTAGATTTATTGGTGGCCATTTTTATTGAAGACTTGCTGAGCTTTTACTAGAAAAATGCACGACAAAAGGAATGTTGCATTACTCAGAGAAAGGCATCTCAATACAAGTATGGTCCTTTTTCTATCCACGTGACTTAAAATATGTATCAAGTATATTAACAGTGTTTGAAGTTATACATCCATTTTGTTAGAATTAGTTGGAGTTACAGTTACCTACATGTCATGCTTTTTCACTAGTCATGTTACAAATTCTAATCTAGAACATAACAGTTTGTAAGAAAAGCCTATTTTGCAAAACCCTAAGTCCACAGGGTGCAATGAAATAAAACTTTCAATAACAAGCGATAGTATTATGGATCCATTTACATTCTCTTACATCAACCATGGTTATAACTATTCAAGAGGGTCCAGGACTACAGTTGAGTAACCTGTAGTGACCTAAGCACCTTAAAGAGGATAGTGTAAACCGCCTTGGGTTCCTTGTGAGAAGCAAAAAAAGGCGGGATAATAATGTACTAACTAAATAAAGTTGTAAATTGTAAGTCAGTTCAACAATTTATAAGCATGAGATATACAGAGCTTAGCTGACCAAAAGCCTTCTCTAACTCCTAAACAGCTCTAATTCACAGCGGCTTTTTTTTAAACCTTTCTAGAACACCAGCCGTTAGGTTCAGCAAGGCAGGAAAAACCAAGCTCCCAAACCCTCCTTGACTCAGCAGTATCTTCTTCCAGGAGATACATCACATACCGTCTTTTAGGCCATGCAAGCCCGCGCATCGTGCTTCCATTTAGAAGAAATGGAATGCGAGTAACAAAGGCCTGTTGCAAAGGTTCCAAGATTAAGTTGAGCCTTAAGCACGAGGTGCATGAGCAACGGCAGGGCGGGTGGGGATGCAAAGCGACCCCTGAGGGGCCTCCCATAACCAAAAGTATACAAGGCAGGACCAGTTGCAGCACGAAACGCCAAATCACTTAAGACTCCCACCACCGCCACCCCACTTCGATCAGCTCCACTAGACACCCTACGTTTTGCCCCCAACTGCAAGCACAACGCCACCCATCCAACGTGCTAAAGCTTCAACGGATTATTTTTCAAAAAATGTCCACGCCTCCAAGTCTCTTGCTTTGTCCGAGGCCTGAGCCTCTTCCTCCTCCACTTGCTGCCAGGTGCTTTTCCTTGGGAGAGGGATGGCAGAAGTGGTCCAAGGCTGCATATTAACTAGGTGGCAAGCCCCACTGAATTCAGCGACATTTAACCTTCAGAAGTATAAACGTTCAGAGAATTGTGCTGCCGGTCTCACGGTATGCGTGATCATTGCCCTTCTCTCCGACGACAAGCGGACAGCAAAGGGGCGGGGGAGAGAGGCCTAGTCGGGGAAGGTCGCCCTGTGGCCTTTTTTTTTTTAAGTCCCTGGATGAGCCAAGAAGCGGCGGCGGCGGCAACAGCACCGAGAGGAAAAAAAAAAATGGAGGAGGGGAGTAAAGAGGCCACGCCTGGACATTTCTTGGAGTTACATAAAATGTAAGCCTTATTCTCAAAACGGGACACAAACCTCCCTCACCACACCCCGCTGTTCTTACAAACGAGTTAGAAGGGAGCTGAAGGAGGGGAAGAAGAGAAGAGAGAAAGATACGGACTTCAATGGTGCCCAGCCGCTCCGCTCCCCTGTAGTCAGTCTCCGGGCTCCAGGCGCGCAGTGAAACGGCAGCAGCGACATCTGAGGGGGCGGGGAGAGGCGGCGGGGAAGGAAAAGGGGGCGGGAGGCAGGCGCAGCAGCCGCAGCCAGGGCGGGAGCCGCGAGGGGGCTGGGCAGGGCTTCGCCGCGCCGCTGCGCACAGCAGACGCCTCCCTCTTTCGTTCCCGCCCTTCACTGCGCCGCCGCCGCCGCCACGGTCGTTAGCCGCTTCACACACTTCTGCTGCCTCCACCGCCGTGGCCGCGCCTGTGCTGAGGACCTGCCGGACCGGGTAGAGCCAGAGCGTCTTTTCGGCCACCACAGCCGCAGCCCCTTCCCCAAAAAACCTGTTCGCTTCCCCACTTCTTTTATTTCTTACTGGTCGAAATGCCTCGCGGAGACCGGGAGAGCGACTGGGTGAGTGAGGTAACAGACAGCGTGGCTCAGTAATGGCCGACCTTTTTGCAGCCATTGTGTCCTCCTTGGGTTTCCAAGCGGGGTAGGTGGGCGGACGAGCCTTCCCAAAGACAGGATGGAGGGAAGATGGCGGGCGCGGGATGAGGGAGGGGGAAGGGAGGGCTGAAGTCGGTCTCCAGCGGCTTTGGAAGGCGATAGCGAACCCGTTTGAAGGGGCTCGGGACAAGAAGCCGTGAAGTGATTAATGGCGGGTTTCGGCGCGTTCTTTTCGCCCTTGCATCTTCAGGTAATTTGTCAACGAATATTATCTGCGAAGTACGAAAAACATTAGGGGTAGGATTATTTTCTTACTCCCCCTCCTTCTCGCTGGACTTCACCAACAAACTCCTAGAAGGAGAGACGTTTTTCTACAGTAATTCTGCCGTCGGTCCAGCGGAGAAGAAACTTATTCTGAAGAAAAGGGAATGGGTTCTCGGTTATTTACCTCCCCTTTTGGCGCGATTCTATTTCTTCGTGCTGCTTCGGCAATTTCCGGAGAGCAGGCAGAGATAGGCTCATGGAGTCTTCGGCTTTTCCGGAAATTGTCGAACGGAGTCCGGACAGGGACGAGGGCACTTCGGCGGCCTTCCGGCCATATCCGAAAGTAGGCGGCTTGGTCCGGAAACGGCCGAAAGCGCCCCTTGGGATGACGATGCGTATTTCGGCTGCTTTCGGAATAAGTGCACCTAACAAATACGGTATTTTCGTTTAAAAATCAACAACAAAACGATCCTTCTCCTGAAGTAGCCCCTGTTAGCACACGAAAAAGGGTTATTAAAGCAAATGGCTTAAAGATAGCGAGTAAGTGGATGGTCCTCAATTCATACATTTTACCCCAGTGGATTGTGATCATTTTATGGTTTCACGTAGTTAAAAATAATCCTGAAACCGATTTTGGAGCGAAGGGAACGATGTGTGAATTTTCATATACGTGAGAGTGAACGCCGCCATTACTAGAAAGACGGGATCGTATTCTCAAAATGCCTTACGCAAAACATGTGGCTTTTAGTACGCTAATGGTGGAAAATCCCCGTGTTCTGGAATTGCAGTGCGTTGGTGATGAGAGCACCAAATGCGGCACAGTACGCCAATAGCGTAGATTCTTGCGGTGACGCAGAATCCGTTAGTTGGAAACACTTGGTGGCGCAGTCGGCGGGAGTAAAGTGCCTTCTACTGAAGTCCTTAGTGGGGAGGAAGGTTCTGGAAGGGCCAACGGCAGTTGGGAGAGGGGGAGCAGGTGGCTAAGTAGTTCCAGCGAGCTGAGGATCTTCACGTAGTTCTAGGGATAATGAGGGAGGTCAGCGGCTTTTCTGCTTCGTGTCTAACGAGGACAGACTTAAGCAGGCACGGCAGAAATGCGAGCGAGAATGTATACGAGGTTATGAAGCCTGCGTTGAGAGCTCCAGCTACGCTTGCTCTTCTGCCAAATCTAGCAGTACCGAGAGGAGGGCAGGGGAAGCGAGCCTGCGCGGAAGAGGGGACTAAGGTAGTCTATTTTGGCCTTCTGGGAAAAACCCCCCTCGCGGTGTTAAGCCGGCGCCATTTTCTTTCATAGCCCGCTGAGGGCCTCGGGTTCTGAAGCCGTCACATGGCGGAGCCATCTTCATTAGATGGGCGGGGAACAAGCCAGGCACTGAAAAGCAGTTTAACCATTTCAGCGTCGAGCAAGGCGTAGAAATTAGCTTCTCGAATAGTCTGTACCCTTCCCTCCTCTTAACTTCTCGACGTCCAACACCATTTAGAGTGGGCAGATCAGTTTTTCTTGGGTACTGTTGGAAAGTTCTCTTTGGAAATGGCGCCACTGTGCCTTGCTAACTTGTTTTAGAAATCGGAACACTTAAGCAGTTACTCAGTTCCATCCATATCTTAAGATTTATGTTAACTTTTAGAAATGTTATGCAAGTGTAATTAAAGTATGCAAAAAGTTTACTTTTAAAAAGTAAAAAAATACAATAGATAAAACAGTAAGAATTAAAATAACATTAATGTTAAAAAGCAGTTAAAAAGGCGTAACCAAGTGAAAAAAACACTTTGCTAATTGTATAAGACCGCTGAATGACCAGGTAGGTATTTGTTGGCCTCTGCAAAGAGGGTTGTCTTAACGTGGTGCCACTAAGATGACAAATTTGGTGCCAGGTGTCCACTACAGGCATATATTAGGTGATGGCCTTCAACATACAATGTTTCAAAGCATTTCAGATAATTTGAGATAAGTTTCTCAGTTCTCAACTTTATTTGTGGGAAAACAGATTAATCATACTATTTTTCAATTTAGAATAATATTTGGGCTTCTGCAGTCCAAATATTCAACTCTAAATGGATTCTTCCACAAATGAGTTCTTCCAAACACTCATGTTTTTCTGTGAAATCAACAGTAAAGTGTTCAGCCAAGATAGAGAACACCTTCTTGTCTCAACTATATTGTTGGGGATTCTGCATTTCAATTTCATCTAACATTATAAAGTATTTGTAAGATGTATGCTATATTGCTGTCTTTTTCTTTGAATTAGAGGGAAAAGGAGCAGTTCCGTAAACTGTTCATTGGTGGCTTAAGCTTTGAAACAACAGAAGAAAGTTTAAGAAACTACTATGAGCAATGGGGAAAGTTAACAGATTGTGTGGTGAGTTGTGTGCCTTTATTTGTTCCTGCTTTTAAATATGCTTGAAATGGTTTAGGCACACTGATTGTTTGTACTGAGTACCAAGTCTTCAGTGTGTTGACAGTTTTTTATGCAGACCTACCAAACTTTAAAGTTAGGATTCAGCTGGAAATACGTATATTCTATACTTTTAGTTGGTGTTAAATGTGCTGAATGTATAAGAAATGGGGGAAGGGATGTAATGAAGAGGTGCAACATAAAATTTACATACAGAAAATTGCAGGTTTAATCCTGGGCATTTCCAATTTGGACTGTGAAAGACCCCTGTTTGAAGCGCTGCTAGTCCATATAGTCAATACTAAATGGACAGTTGGTGTGTAAAAAAAAAAATCTTACTTTATTCACAGTGCTGATTGGTGACAGCCTGGTACAATATCTCTTTTTTCAGTATGCCATGTCATAAGCAGTGTTGCATGTTAGCTCATTTTTGTCACTGAACTGCTTCCTGTTTATGCTAAGCTATGGTTTATTGTTAACAAACACAAACCCTGGGCATGTGTGCTACCTCTTTCTAATGGGCCACAGGCATCTCAATAAAATGACTTGTATAATGTTCTGAACAATGAACATTTTTACTAGTGCAACTAAATGTCCATTTCAAAGGTGGCAAGGTAGTGATGCTTAGAGACAACTTCGTGAAAACAAGCAGGGATGGGATATTCTCACTCAAACAAAAGCTTTTCCTATAAATCCATAATTTTATGTTTTAACAGATACCTGTCTTAAAGAAGTAAAGCAACTTAACCTTTTCAAGTCACCTTAAAATAAATACCTCTGAAGTTAATATAGCACCAGTATATACTTTTTCTCTTCCAATATCACTATATATACATAAGTATATATGTATGTATACCATATATACATATGTTTACGTATTTGTATGTATACATATACTTGCGTCTCCAGTTTAACAACTTAAACATGCTCTTACCTGTTTTTATTTACTGCTACAGCCCCTCTACCTCTTTAATTCCCCAGCCCTCTCAGGCTTCCCCATTTCCCTCTTCTCCTACATCTTCCTTTTTTCCCTCTTCCACAACCCCCCTACTTAACCAGTTTTCTTCTCCCCCTCCCAGCCCCACTTATCCATGCTTTTTTTCTTGCTCTCCATTTCCCATGAATTCCCTTTTCTCCTTGCACGAAGGCATAGATGCTGGCTTGTTCTCCCCTTAGAGTCTACCTGCTTTTAGTATCCAATTAGAGAAGAGTTTTAATGATTCTCGCAGAGGATTGTTCTAATTGGACGCTTCTAGCAGGGATAGAACAACTATAATTAGACATAACCAGCAAAGAGAGACCAATTAGACTTGTTTCCTCCTGTATTCTTCAACTGAATCTACTGACTGATCAGATCAGTAGGAAGACCTGAGCAGACAGCATTGCTTAGAAGCTATACCTGGCAGTGAAGAAGGTTGAGGCTGTAGCAAGTATTCTAATAAACTTGTTGGAACCTGTATGTACCATGTTGGGGACTCCAGTGTTAAATACCATATCCATACCTCCAAACTCTTTACTAGGGCTTCATGAAAATAAGGTAGTTTCTATGGTTAATGCTAACACTTCTGATTGATCATAGCTTGTGGCATTTAGTTGAAGCAACAAGCTGTGAAATCATAAAAAACAGTAATGAATGCTTCCAGACATCCCTGTGGTCATATTGGAGAGAGATGGGGACATTTGAGCCAAAGCTTAAATAGGGGTCTGTTTTCTTACTGGTAAAGTAGTAGTGTGTCTGAGGTACCTGATGGCTGTGCATTTACAGTATGAACTTTGGCTGTAGCTTTTTTCCAGTTGGTACTTCCTTGAGCCCATTCCCTGCTTTATTATTTGCTCAGGTTTCAGTTCTCAGATGACTTTGATCAAGTATGTAAATGTGTATTTGCAATGGTTTACCCTTAGTACTAGAATTTAAAGTATGATTTTTAGATTATATTTTAATTTGTAAATGAAAATGCTTGGTTGTTTTAGTAAAGAAGAAATGTGCAGGGACCTTGCTGAAGAAAGAATGGCTGAAAAATAAAAGGCGTAGCAGAGAGTTGAGAGAAAATGTAAAGCTGCAACTTCTGAATGGGAAAGGCAGCGGCTTGCAGTTGTTCCTCGTGATTACAGATAGATTGGATTTTTTTGTTTCAGTTTTGTCAGTAAGCAGTGACTGGGGAATGAAAAGTATTGGCTCCAATTTTTGCGTTTGTATACTAGTAAAATGTGATTGATTCTGAGGATAATGTGGTTTTACTGAAGATTTTCCATTTTGAGTCGTGTTATTTTTGTTATTTGTGATAGAAAGGCAGGGTATAAATCTTAAAAAACTAGGGCAATAAATGTGTGATAATTTAGAAATGTCCACAGTTGAAATGCACATTTCTGCATTTTCTAGGTAATGAGAGACCCTGCAAGTAAACGCTCACGAGGATTTGGTTTTGTAACATTCTCTTCCATGGCTGAAGTTGATGCAGCAATGGCTGCCAGACCTCATTCAATTGATGGAAGAGTAGTTGAGCCTAAAAGAGCTGTAGCCAGAGAGGTAAGTTTTGTTTTGAACCCAGAAGATGCTACCTTATGGGACATTCCTCTTGTTTTTCCTTGTTTTTTTTGCCTTTTAAAGCAACTAATATGTAAGATAAGTTTATAGCAGTATTTTGAGAACTTTATTGCTTGGTGCTTGGAGAAGTCATTGCCAGTGAGTGATACCTGTTAAAATGTAAGCACATAGGATGTTAAACTTAGTGCACTTGAGAGTTCATTCAGCACAATACCTAAAAAACTAAAGCTGTAATCCTACATTCTCTGGGACAGTATCTCAGAGGCCACAAAATTAGTTAGAACTCTCCCTTAGAGGATGGAAAGAAGTATGTGTTGAAGAAGGACCTCCAGCTCTGGATCCTTCTCTTTTCTCCCAGACTTGGGCAGAAATAAGTATGAGCTGGCATGGATTAATTCTATTCCATTAATTTCAGTGGGAGGGAATAGGTAGAAGATTAAAACTTTGGTCTATCCAAAAAAATGCTGCTACTTGTTTTTTGTTACGGCTATAACCTATCATTTTAACAATATATAATATGAATGCTTTTTATGTAGCACTCAAGGATGCTCCATAATATAGCATATTGTGATCCTGTGAGAAAAGTCAGCTTTATTATTTCCAGCCTTGCAGGTTGGGGGCCTGAAAGAAAGTGGCTTTCCTGAGACCATTTAACTAGAGACTTCCTAATTTGTGAGCCACAGGGCAATCCCATCCCCAACCTCATGAGAACTTAAAGCTATCCAATATATGCCAAACTCATCCCCCCCACAAAAAAAAATCCCTCAAAAGTTTCTTAAACCGCCACAAATAACTTTTGGAGATCTGTGTGTCCTAATACTATTTTAAAAGTTAAGACATGAACTGTAGCTATAGTGAAGATGGTTGCTTTTAATACTGTTTTGCTTTTAGCAAAACCAAGTGGAAATTCAGGCTTTTTAGAATGATTAGCAGTTTTAATGGCAAACCTTTTCCCCCAAGGAATCTGGAAAACCTGGGGCTCATGTTACTGTGAAAAAGCTCTTTGTTGGTGGAATTAAAGAAGATACTGAAGAACATCACCTTAGAGACTACTTCTCAGAATATGGAAAAATTGACACAATTGAAATAATAACAGACAGGCAATCTGGTAAAAAGAGAGGTTTTGGATTTGTAACTTTTGATGACCATGATCCTGTGGATAAAATTGTGTGTAAGTAAAGCTCTGTTTACTATTAAATATTTAACATACATGATTGTGGCCCGGTCCTGTTCATCACTGTTCCAGCAAGTAAAGATGTACTTTCTGACAGGGATGCCTGTAAGCCTCCAAATACAGATGATTACCAGTATGCAGGGCAGGAGGAACACAGAACCAGTCTTTATGTCTGTGCTTCTTCCACACTGCAAGGCAGCCAATTTGGGACATCTAGCTTGAGGTACAGGAGCTCTAGCTCAGGAGTGGAGACTAGGCCTTATATACCACTTCTTGCAGGTTGCCTTTGGAGAAGTAGCTGTTGCAGCGGGTGGGGGGGTTGGTTTTTGTTGGTTTGTTTGTCATGCATCAGTTGTGAGGGGGTTGAGATCCAAGGGCTGCTCCCCAGCTCTGATGTTGGAGGTCTTTTCTGATCATGGGTCTAGGAATCTAAAGTATCCTGTGACCCTTAAGATGCTGTCTAGGGGCCATATGATAGCTAAGTTGTTTGATAGTGCTAAGTGAGCATGTTCTGGAAGTTTCACAATGTTGTACAGTTTGTCTTAAATTTGTTATCTTCTGTGTGTGCTGTTGTTTTTTACAGTGCAGAAATATCATACAATTAATGGTCATAATGCAGAAGTTAGAAAAGCTTTATCCCGGCAAGAAATGCAAGAGGTTCAGAGCTCAAGGAGTGGACGAGGAGGTATATTCTGAGTATCATTAAATGTGCAAGTTAAATACTCGTAACATAATTTGTAGATAACTTATATTTATTATATGAAATACCATCAGGTAACTTTGGCTTTGGAGACTCGCGTGGAGGTGGTGGAAACTTTGGTCCAGGACCAGGAAGTAACTTCAGAGGTGGATCTGGTAAGTCTGTTGATCACTGGTCTTTCAAATTTTAAATAAATCCAACTCTTTGATGTAACTATGACATCATTCTGATGTGCATATCTAAAAATTGGTAGGTGGTATTATGGGATATAACAACCCTTTGCCATGTACAATGCTGGACCATACTTGTACATGGTGTAATGTCCTCTATTGTTAACATTCTTAAAATATGAACCTAAAGGAATACTTTAAAACTCTTGATTATTGTTTGCTTGGCTAAAGAATATAAGAGGATCTGTTTTGGCTCAGACCAAAGGTACATCTGTCATCTGTTCAGATTTCTGTTTATATATAAAGTTAATAGAACATTTCTGTTCAACAGATGGCTATGGTGGTGGTCGTGGGTTTGGTGATGGATACAATGGATATGGAGGAGGACCAGGAGGTTAGTTTCTTGAATTCTTCTATTAAAAAAAAATAGTATGCTTGTTTCTGACTAATAATGGAAACAAAACAACTTTCTTGAACGCAATTCTGTTAATACAGTTATACAAATACAGATACTAGAAGATTTCTGTCCATGTTATCACAGTTTTTGTATGTTGTTTTAGAATATTCAAAATGAGTTAGCTAATAAAGTCCCAAATCCACCATAGATAACATGATGTACTAGTAATTTGGATACAATTTTCATTTGGAACCAAATAATCTCTCCCAGTGAAAGTATACATGAGAGATGATGTGAATGCTGTCATTGAAACAAGTGACTTGCAGTATAAGATTTCATTCTCTTTCTATAAATTACTATCATACTACTTAGCTGAAGCTCTTTGAGTGTTTTTCCACAATTGATTAAATGTTAAACTATTTAGACAGCTAAAAACAAATACAGGGTGCATTTAAAAGACGGCTAATAAAAGCAGGTTTATGATAGCACAGAGTAGTAAGAACTGCAAGATGGAAGTCATCTGCAGATCAGTGCAGTTGACTACATGCTTTCTTGTGTTGGGCAACAGCATGTCCCATATTACATGGTATGCTGGTTTCAAATGCAGGGATGACTGTGATGTGGCATGAAGGGTCTGTTCCATATAGAAATACTAATGTCCAGTGCACTCCAGCAATTCTAAAAGTTCTCTTGTTTATGGCCAAAGTAAACAGTGAGCAACATATTACTTACTGAATCTTGCTTCACAATAGGTGGTAATTTTGGAGGCAGTCCTGGTTATGGAGGAGGAAGAGGAGGCTATGGTGGTGGAGGACCTGGTTATGGCAACCAGGGTGGGGGCTATGGAGGTGGCTATGACAATTATGGAGGAGGTAATCATGTACAAAATAATTTTTTACTACTGTTGGTCTGGGCACCTTTTAAATGGGAAGAAAATAATTTTCCAAGTAGTTAAGTACTAGATAATCATGGGATTTAAAGAATATCTTTGTAAGGACTTTCATAATTGCTATGGCAAAAATAAAAAGCTTTTATCAGAAAATGGTTATACTCCTTGTGGGTATCACACAGAATATCTTATTCAGTATACATCATGCATTACATTTGTCATTTAGCAGTTTAAATCATGACTTTCCCTATTCAGGCATATTTTTATGCAGAAAAATTAACTTTTTTATAAGGGAAATGTAATGTGTGAAATGTGAAATCAGTTGGCTTAGATCATGGTGGGGAAGCTCTGGTTTGCAGACTTGAGTGTGGCCTGCTAGATCTCTCTGTTCATCTTGTTGATGTCTCCCATTTGGCAGTTATGTTTTCTTCAATTTTCAGTTGTTTCCCATAGATCAGCTGAGAGGTTGCATCAGGGTTGAAAACCTCCAGGGAAAGTCTTCTCTCAGCCACATGATCTGCTGGAAGCAACTGAGAAGTAGGGAAAACAGACTTAGTAGGGGGGCAGGGTGAGTGATGTCATAAGGGAAGATCACTCTTCCTGTATTGCCACATCACATCTTTGCCATCCTATGAATTAAAAAAAGGTATCCCTTTTGCAGTACACAACATGAAACCAAAGTAAGCTGGTGATGCAGGAGAGTGGATGATTAGTTTACCCAGTAATTTTGCATCCCTGAGGAAATGGAGAGCAAATGACTGGGAAAGAGGGATAGAAAAGGAAGTTTGGGAGAGTGTTGTTTTGGCCACACTGACACCTAGTACTGAATGTAATGCATTAATGAATGTGTCCCTCTTTGCAAAAAGTTTCCTTTGGTTTAGATATGCATGATGGGATTTGAAATATGCCTTTTCATAGCCAAAGTTAATGTTCTGATGGTTATTAATATATTCTTTTTATTCAGGCAATTATGGAGGTGGAAATTACAATGACTTTGGAAACTACAACCAGCAGCCCTCAAATTATGGTCCAATGAAGAGTGGAAATTTTGGTGGAAGCAGGAATATGGGGGGACCATATGGTGGAGGTAACTTGTTGAACTGAATTAACAGCCATCTATGTCATGCCTATATGTGTATTGTTAAATTTACTGGCACGTGTAGAGAAAGTCATGTGATGCACCTGCTTTTCTAATCTAGGGTTTTAAGCCAATATGTTAGAAAATGATAGGAAATAATTTTCCTTCTCTGTTGCAGCTTCTGTCTGAGACTACTTCATTGTCTTTCTCTTCTGACTTAAATTTTCAGTCTCCCCTCCCTCCTTAAAAGACAAATTTTCCCCTTCCCACAAACCTAGATTTGCCCACAGCCCCAATAATCCTGTTAGTCAAAGCTTGAACTGACAAGTGGTAGAAGGGTTTTTCTCCCACTGCAATTGTACCTAAATGCAGTGTTTTAACTTTTGAACAGTGAGGGACTGGACATGAAAAGGTTTATACATAAGTTAGTTATAAGTGAGGTAGGCTGTTCCTGGTGGCGGTAAGAATCATGCACGTTCTGATGAACACAGACCTTTTCTGATGACTGCTCTTGTTTAGTTCACAGCTTTCTTCAGGCATTCTACTTTCCTTATTGAAACACATGAACTGAGGAATGTTCTGGTCCTTACCTACTCCATTGTCACATTTGTTTCCTTGTATGTATGGAGGGTGATAGTCTGAAGAGGGGTGTTCTTTTTCAGGATTCTTAAATTGGAGCACATGCACCAATACAGGAGATGTTTCCCTTCAGACAGTTGCCCTACAGGGTGACAAAAGAAATCTAGAGGGCCTGGGCTGGAGTCTTCTAGCAACATACTAAGTAGAACTCCTGAAGAGGCTTATATTGTGATAGAATGTTGCGAAGTGGGGTTTGCATGGATGCAAATTCAGACTAGGTTGTATTATTTTAAAAGCATGTGCTCCCAAAGCTGTAAAATTGCAAACTCTCATCATTTTAACACATTCCACTATGCAGCAATTGGGCAGCTCTTCTCAGTTTGGATAGAGGGAGTGAAGATTTAAACTGTATATAAGATGCTTATTCACCTGATAAGAGTTGATGATTCATGTTAATTTCATGCTTGCTTTCTCTCCCCCCCCCCCATACAGGAAATTATGGTCCTGGAGGAAGTGGAGGAAGTGGGGGATATGGAGGGAGGAGTCGTTATTGAACTTCTGTAAGCTTTTCATGGGTGAGTGTACTTTTTTAAATGCTAAAATTGCAGTGTTTCTTGGCTTTAGCAGCAGGGGTAAAAGCTTTTTAGGATCATATTATCTTTCCTTTAAAAAAAAAACTGGGTAGATGGATAACTTCATAACCTATTTTTTTACTCTTTACTTCTGTTGAAACAGGCTTCACTGTATAAATAGGAGAGGATGAGCCCAGAGGTAACAGAACAGCTTCAGGTTTTCGAAATAACATTGTTAAGGAAACACTTATCTCAGACATGCATAAATATGCAGTGATATGGCAGAAGACACCAGAGCAGATGCAGAGAGCCATTTTGTGAATGGATTGGATTATTTAATAACATACCTTACTGTGGAGGAAGGATTGTAAAAATGCCTTTGAGACAGTTTCTTAGCTTTTTAATTGTTGTTTCTTTTTAGTGGTCTTTGTAAGAGTGTAGAAGCATTCCTTTGATAATGTTAAATTTGTAAGTTTCAGGTGACATGTGAAACCTTTTTTAAAGAATTTTCTCAAAGTTTCGAAAAGCTATTAGCCAGGATCATGGTGTAATAAGACATAACGTTTTCCTTTTAAAAATTTAAGTGCGTGTGTAGAGTTAAGAAGCTGTTGTACATTTATGATTTAATAAAATAATTCTAAAGGAAATGTTGTGTAATTATAGATTTATTTTAAATACATTGTAAATTAAGGCAAGGAGTGGGTAGTAGAAGGTCCCACAAATACTATAAAGTCGTTTGTTGTACATGTAAAATGCTGGTCAGATAATGTTTTCTGTAAATCACCAGGTTTAAAATACCTAGATAACTTAAGGGATATCTCTGCAAGGAGAAACACCTTTTTAGATCTTTTAGATGCTGCTTCTTCAATGGCAAGGAAAGGAAATATCCCCAGCGAGGTACTCTTCCAGGGACACAGGTCTAGTGCAAGAGAAGTCTTGAGAACGGCACTAAGTTCAGCCAGTCTTAAAAAGCTGTGCTGTACTTCTGCAAAGCTTTAACTGCAGTAGTTTTAAGGATGCCAACGAAAGCTGAGGGTGTAGAGCAAAATAGTTCTAAGCTTCAGTTAAACTTCTTTAGGTAAGATCTTATTTACTTTTCCTTTCTTAATATTCCAAAAACAAGAAACTAATACTATATGACAGTGTACTGTTTCAGTATAGTGGTTATATTATCTAGTTTAACATAGCAATGAACCAAGTTAACAATTGTTTATTGGAAATTTAAGAATTGTTTTTGTTTGTTTTTGTGGGTGGGTGGTTTTTTGATTGTTTGTTTTGTTTCTTTTGTGTTATTTGGTTTGCTATATATTTTCATTTATTTTAACTTCAGCTACTTAACCTATCTTTTCCCCTGCTGGAATCTAGCTTTATGCACCATGGACAACCAATAGACCTGCTGAGCAAATGAACCAGCCAAGTGTCCATTAATGCTTTGCAAGGGTTTCATCCCTGCTATGGTTAGTTAAAATGGTATGTTGCAGCTCACTTACATGATACAATTTAATGTTTTTATCCTTCATTCTTCATTTTCTTGAAATCCTAAACACTTAAATGGTGTTTGTAGAAATACAGCAGTTGTTAGACATTAAGTGCAGCTGAAATCCTATTGCTATGGCTAATTCCTAAACTGTATTCTTAAACTTATTTGAAAATAAGAACGTCAGACATAGGAACCATTTCCCTTACAGCATTGTGGTACTCATTTTTTTAACAAAAGGTTGTGTACAAGGGGTTGTAAAACATCAGAGGTGGAATTTGACTCAGCTTAACTCTGTTGGGCTAGGATGTTCGTGCGTTTTCTCTGAAACTTTGTTAATGTGTACAGTATCAGCTTTTACATTAGAGTAGCATGGTGTTTGATTTGGATAGATATAATGAAAGAATCAATCACACATTTTCAATGGGTGGGGTGGTCTAATATTTGTCTTACCATTTCTATTGCTTGATACAATCTGCACATTTTAAAAGCCTGCATCTGCCTCATCTGGTTCATAGCCATTTACTGAAATGTTCCTGTAGGTGATAACAATGAGGCATACATGAAAAAACTTCTTCAGATACTTTCTTTTTCTTTGGCAGGAAGGTGCCAGGCTGCAGGTAACTAATGAAGAAGTGGTCAACCACAGAAACTTCAAGAAATAAGATATTTCTATTGTCATCACAAAATAGTTGGTTTTGCTGGTTTTATTAAAACCTGTTTGGGTTAAATAAATACTACTGCAGCCTATTGTAATGCTTTTAAAAATATATAAAATTACAGTTAAAGTTGTTCTTAGAATTCAGTCTGGTTAGGAAATCAAGACTAATGTTAAGACAGTAACACTGTGTCATATTTTTTATAACTGATATAATAAACTTTTATACAAAAATATTCCTAGTCTGATAACATTTTAACATTTCATATGCAGTTAAAACATCAAACATAATTCTTCCATGACACTTTAATGTAGATTTTGTTCAGTAGTAACAATGTTCTACAGTAGCATAAAGTACATTATAATTTGATACGCTCTTACACTAATAATAATTGGAGGTACTAAGTTGTGATTGCATAGTGAAAACAACTATTGAGAAATAAAACATGTTTGGGGGAACCCTAAAGTTTGCAGAAGCAAGAAAAGGAATAAAAAAGCAGCCCAGTGTGGGCTAAATATATAATGACCAATGCTGGTGTTGGTATGGGGGCTGGGGGACAAGGCTACTAGGAGAAGGAATGGAGTATGCTGAAAAGAAATATTGGACTGGCTACTACACAACAGAGAAACTATGTTGTGCTATTTTGTTGTGAGATCTTGTACTTTATATTTCGTCCAACATCATTCTGGAAAAGTGCTTCCTTTAAGTGAAAATACTTTTAAGAAGTATTAAACACAGTATTCTACCATCCAAAGACATACTTAAAATGTTTCCTGACTAAGAGCCACATTTTATGGGCTAATGTAAAACTCAGTTGAACATAACTGTCAGATTGACTGAGCCTTATCTGCAAGTGACTTCTATGTATAGTTCCAAGTAATCAAATTGAGATGATCATACTTAAACGCAACATTTTCTGACACTTTGGCTATATTGTCTGTCTGGTTCTTGCTTTTGCCTGGTCTCTGCTATTGCTGGTCTTTTTTTCCAGCAATAAGGCCTTTTACATTATTGCACATCTGAGCTGGCAGAGTTGTATGCCTTTGCACATTTAATGTTTACAGAGGAATTATTAAGCATGTGTATTCCTTCTGTACTATTCCATATCTAAATTGTAAAACCCCTTTTCTCAATAGCAGAAAATGTAGATAAGGCACGTAAAATCCTGTATTGCTGTCCTTGCAAGCATTGTTCTCACGGTTGAGAACATGCAGACAGAATTTAAGAAGGATGTGGTTCTAGAAGATGCAGTATCTAAAATTCAGAACAAAGCGTCTGTATGAGTTTAGTTCAAGAGCAGAAACCTTTGCATTTAAAACATGTAAGACAAAATACACACTTTGCCTCTCAAATCCTGTCACTTGTATTTTGAATGTTTAGTGTATTAGTATTCATATACGGTCTAAAGCTTGCCACAGCAATTCCTAGCTTACAGTTGGTAGTATTAGAACAAAAGCTTTCCTTCTCAATGAAAGATAGACCTTGGTATGGTACATTTGGTCCAGATTGCTGATGCCAAAGAATGCATGCACCAACATAGTAACTGAATGATCATCTTGTTGGCTTGTTCGTAGCTGTGTTCATTCGAAGTTACTTAAATGTTTTCAGAGGAAACAAGATCTCAATATAGATGAGATTGATGTATGCAGCTCAGTAATCGTCACCCAGTTTCCCTGTTAAATTCAACACTGCTTTCCCAGTATTAGGAATTTATGGGGTCAAAATGAGTTGCTCAAGCCGTTCTGAATAAAATAAGCCATTGCTAACTAGAAAGCAAGTAATAAACCACTGTTTAGTTTTGTAGAAAATACAAAAGTTCTGTAAACTGCTTTGGAATATTCCAGTTTTAGCATGCACAGTGGGCTAAAAACAAGTGTTAAGCCCTACTTTAGACTCAGTTAAGCGCTCGGAGGACTGCAAGGTTAATTTTCACAAAAACTCCATTTATGGCTAAACTCTAGCATACTTTTCATTTTTATGCAAGTTTCTAAAAGTGGATTTACTAATTTTCACTGAAGTTCATGCTGCAGTGCTAAATACACCTTGATATAAAAAGCCCTGAGTATGGGGAGACTGTTTCTAAGTAAGATTGCGTAAGATTGCTCTAACAATATACAAAGAACCTTAGCTTTAAAGAGACTCTAGAATACAGATGAGATTATTAGTGAATACATTCTTCTGTTACTAGTACCTATCAAAACAGATTTAACTGGTTAGGGATATGATGATGACGTATAAAGCCCTAAACGGCTTGGGTCCTGGTTACCTGAAGGAGCACTTACGTCCATATATGCCCGCCTGCCCCGAGATCTGCGGGAGAGGCCCTTCTCCGGGAACCCTCTGTGAAGGAAATTGGGAGGGTGAGTACTCAGAAGGCTTTCTCTGCGGTGGCGTCCAATCTATGGAATGCGCTCCCCAGAGAGGCCCACCTGGCGCTGTCATTTGTTTTTTGGTGCCAGGCAAAGACCTTTTTATTCAAATGTCATTTTAACTGTTAATAGTATTTATTTTATTCTTTGGCCAGGGCGACTTAATTTATACTGTTAATTTATATTATTTTAATGAAGTTTATGTCTGTGAGCCGCCCCGAGGCTTCAGCGAATGGGGCAGCATAGAAGTTTCCTAAATAAATTACAAAAACTTGTTTGACCAGAAGAGGCAATGAACCTTTTTTAAGTATACACTAAAGGGAGCAATTCCTTTACTTTCAAAAGGGGATGGATAATACAGTAAAACATGGATAGTTCTTATAACTGGGGTCAGGTCTTAAAGGGTTAGTGGAACTTGTGTGTTGCCATGACTGATCAGCTGAATAAATTATGCGAAGCCATATGGTTTAATTCATAGTTCATACAGGACAAGTAAACTCATTTATTAGCCAATTATAATTTTTTCAGAATAGTATTCATAGACCCTGTATATGTATTTCTATAAGAGAATTCTGTGGAGATAAAAACTACAGATTCAGAGAAATTAGTGAAACTGCCAGTGGTTTTTTTGGACCTATCCTATCACAAATAGTAAACAAGTTCTTAAATACTTTTGTACTGTAGGTGGCTTTGTTGATCTTTACAGTTGATTTTCTTTGTTGATTTTCTCCTTATTTAGAAGCTTGACTTAAAGCACCACATCTCTTTAAAAAGCACCCATTGGCATTACTAGAATTTTCTAAAGCAATTCTTACACCTAGGTCATTAGTCTAGTTTTTGTATCTTGTTTATGTTCCAATTTGATTCCTCTTCCTGGTATAATCAAAACAGTGCCATTGCTAGAGCAATGCATAGTGCATTGGTTTGGGTTAACATGTCTTCCCTGGTCATCTTTTAATCCACTGAAAATGTCCCAACAAAGGTCATTCAGTTTTTGTTTTATATTGTTAATAGATTGGTTGCACTGGGCCTTTTCCTTCTTAAGCCTTTCCTTTTGTGCTTGAAGGTGACACACATCATCTTTCAGATTCATAATTGCATCTAGTTTACGTTTACGGCAGTTCTGAGCAGCAACTTTGTTTTTTCCTCTCCGCCTTATGTCACGAATGAGTGCTAGCTGATTATCTGTCAAGTAGTAATTTGCCAACAAGCTATTGAAGGGACCAACAGGCAAAGTCACAATATCACTTACAGAGAATGGAATTTTCAGGGCTTTTGCACGGTACTCATCACTGATTTGGCTTCTCTCTATGCCATGGGCTTTTCTACTTGAGACTTTAGTAGATTTCTTCAGCCAGGAAAGGTAATGTTGTGACACAGAGGATGCTAATTGATGGGTAATCTGGCTGTATGTATGATCATGAAACACGTCTATATGCAATTCTGTGGTAAATCCATAATTGTCTTGATAATCCATGCAGCTATATTCTAGGCAACAACCTCCAACAGCTTCTAAATCATCAGAGGTGGAAGATTCAGTGTCACTGTCACAGGTAAAAAGTGATGAATTGCTGCAATCTAGATCTAAAAGGCCAGAATCAGAATCTGGCTCATTGAAAAGAGAAGAGATTTTTGCAGGATCAAAGTTTTCCTCCATAGCTAATGATGTGAGATTTATTTCATCCAATCCATTTCCATCCAGGCCCAAGAAAAAATCCTGGTTTGTTAGGTTCCTACAACAATTATCAGATGCAAACATATCCAAGAAGTTGGTGCCATTGATTAATGATGTGTCTGAGTCAGCCAGGCTAGAATTAAATGCCAGAGTTTCCAATCTCTCCAAAGTCTTTGTGTTTTTTGCACCAGTGTGATCTGATCCCATGACTGCAGCATCGTGAAGGCTCACATCATGGCTAATAGCCTGGCTCAGATCTGCAGTGTTTTGAAAGTTTGACAAGTTCAGACTTCCAGTGTTGCTGACAGGCACAGTATTTCCCATCATGTGTTCCTGCGGGAAATGTAAAAATGATCAGGCTTAGCAGCATCAGTTACCTTTATATACTTAGAGAATAGTTTATTCAGCTGTAGTTCTCTCTAGCATTCCAACAAGGCTTTTATTCTCCCCCTGCCATCCAGTTATACTCTAAAAATGCAAGAGGATATCAAGGGAAAGGTGATTTGCAAAATCATAAGGCAGAGAAGTGGAGAAGCAAGGTAAAAGAATATTAGAAGTACACACTGTGAGCTTGCACTATCAGTTGCAATTTCTGCTAGTAATGCAAATCAAAGGCTGCTGCCAGCATCACTATGCAGTCCTGCTGAAACAGGTTCAGTCTGCATTGTTTTCTAGGTGATTGCTCAGAAATGTGTCAATTCCTACAGCTTGACTTTTTACACCTTGCAACCCTTCTCTTGCTTATCCTTTCAAGGGTAAAAAGAGGCTACCTGGTAGATATTAAGAGAGAGGATTGTATGGGAAAAGATACATATATGTATACAGGGAAATTTGAAAAAGTTCAAAATAAACACTTCAAATACCCAGAACCCAATATGAACGACTAGTGGTACTTGCATACTTGGTTTACAAAATACAGTCAGGCATTACCAGCATACAGGCAGTCCCCAAGTTACAAATGTTCAAGTTGTGACCAACCCATACTTGGGAACAAACCGCAATCAAGCCTATTAATTTAAAAAACCTGCAGCAAATTGTCAGTATAGAGAGGAAGCAAAAGCGGGGAGAGGCCTCCAAAGCAAGCCCTCCTGCCTCAACCCATTGAGAGAATCTCTCCAGCATTTCCTTGCTGCAAAGAGGCGCTGGGGAGTCTGGGCAGTGGGGGGCCTAAACATATTTGTGGTTTTTTTCACTTTTGTGGGGGTCCTGTGCCCTTAGCCTCCATGTGTGTGGAGAGCCGACTCCATGTGGGCTGATTTACATACAAACTCAAAGATAAATTTCTGTTATCTCAGCAATGGAACTCATTTGTAATCCAGTTACTGGCTGTATTGATAGTGCCATCCAAGGCTGGAAACAGGAGATTGAAAAAGAGGGTGCTAGGGTACTTTTGTCAACACTTGTTACCAAAATCCCAGAGGTCAAGTCTTCAGAATAATTCTGGATACTATTATATTACATTAAATCTATGGACAAATAATTCTGGATACTAGTTATATTTCTGAATACTAGTTAAACCTTAAATGGCTTTTCTACACTTGCTGAAGTCTGAGCCTACAATAATCCATGACACAGCAAGGCAGCTGCCCCACCTGCTTGCGTTCAGACAACCACCCAGTCTCTTAACATATTCCACATCTGCTTGTTCTGATAAAAGTCTTGGGAAACAGATGTTTTTGCTTTTCTTGGTCTAATATCACATCTGACCAATACCAAATGGAACTGTACCAACTACTTGGCTACAGAACATCTCACCCTCCTGCACAAAATACTCTCCTGGACGATCTGTGGAGCTCATGGACATGGTGCTCCAGGCATCAAACTGGAACAAGTAATGGAAGCTGACAGAAATGGCCAGATTCAATAACCAAAATACTATCCTGGCAGACATAAAGTAGGGATTGGATACATGCACAGGGAGAATATGCAGACCAGTAACTCCTGGAAAGTCTGACTCCATGCTCAAGTCGTCATTGCTATGCTAAATGGCTAACCTAAATGAGGATGTGGGTTAATGTTAATGAATCTGCCTTCATGCTACGAGGATTCTGTTATCCTGTGCACATGTGTTAGACCAGGAATGGTGAACCGCTGACGGTGGCTCCTGTAATCCTTGATCATTGGCCATGACAGCTGAGGCTGAAATGGGTTTAAGTCCACCAACATCTGGAGGATCATTGCCCCCCCCCCACCTCTGCATTGTGTTACACACTATGCAAGTTACCAAATTCACTCAGTGTTTTCAAATATAGTTCACTGCTACCACACTTCACTACGGTAAGAGCTATAGTGTAAGGTCGGGCTGGCAACTTGTGACCCTTTATAAGAACATAAAAACTATGCTGGATCAGACCAAAGCTCCAACTAGTCTAGCATCATGTTCGCACAATAGCCGATCGGCTGCCCTTGGGAAACCCACAGGCAACTCAAATAAGGCACCCTTCTGTCCATGTTCCCCAGCAGCTGGTGTATTCAGGCATACCACTTCTGACTGGAGGTGGCGTACAGCCACCGGGCCATTAATAACATTGATGGATAGCAAATTGGTGGCTGCCACTGCAGAATTCCATTATTTATGCCCTGTGCTGAATAGTACTTTTCTTCGTCCTGAATCTCCGATCAATTAGCTTCAGGGGATGACCCCAAGTTCTAATATTATGAAAGGGAGAAAATGGCTCTCGGTCCGCTTTCTCCCCACCATGCATAATTTTGCATAATCCAGATGTTGGACTCCAACTCCCACAAGTCCTTTACCACTGGCTATACTGGCAAAGGCTGATACGAGTTGCATCCTAGCAACATCTGCTATGCTACAAGTTCCCACCCCAAAGCATAAGTAGAGGCTTTTGTCACATCACAATTCCAGGAAGATTTTCAGAAGTTTCTTTAGATTTTAGTTATAAAAACCACTTGGAAAAAGGCAACTAGCAAACTTGATACAGTTGGATTGTACAGTTCTGAAAATATCATGATTTGGTAATGGCTTGTTATTAGGTTGCTTTTCAGCCTTTTAAATGGTTTATAGTAGAAAAGCACATCAACTGATCAGGATAGTTGGCAAAGTTATATTTCACACTTACTACCAGTGCATTTTCAGTCAGTGATGTTAGCAGAGGAAAGTAACTTTCCAGCGGGGAAGAATGTTCAGTAGTGCTTCTTTGGTTCTGGAAAAAAAGAAGAAAAATTGTTAAGCATATACCAAAATAAGTACGATTTATAGATGACAGAAAAGAATACTTAGAAATGTAAGGAGGGAGAAAATATTTATTCAGTCCACCATAGGCACTAGGGATGAATAAGTCACCTAATGGTTGCTCAAATCTGCTGCTCCTTATTGCTTTTTAAATTTTTGCACTTGCTTTGTATTTTATTTATTGTTTTTATTGTTGATCCCGCTAGGAACCATCCTAAGTACTAATTACTTTGTAGGGCACTATATCAAATGCATAAAATGAAAAAAGTATAAAGAAATAGGTTTCTCACTGAGTGGCAAGATTTGCCAAAAGAAAGTCAACTTAATACAAATTCATTGCTGCTGCTGATACATCCATGTTGAAACTTTATAGATAACATGTAACATTTTGGAAGCTTCATGCACAGGATGAATTCACACAACCAGAAGCCATACAAAACCAATTAAAAGCTTACAACATGACAAGGAAGTGGTCTGCCATCATCAGTCAACCAATTGCACTCCACAATTGTCTTCAACTTCCATGCAGCTACAGGCAAGTAGTAACTGTAAGCTGAAAAAATCACAAACTAAAACTACTATTTTCAGCACTCGAAATCTGATGGATCAGCTTGCTTGTTTTGTTTATGCTTGCAGTGTAGCCACTTGGGAACAGTTCATCAGAAGCAGCCCCTACATCAGCTTCTCTGACCCAATGCCTTCAGATGTTTTGGACTACAAGGTCCAAGACTGCTGACCACTTGCTTTGCTGTCTAGATCTGATGGAAATTGAAGTCCAAAATAGCTGGAAAAATGCCCCTGGGGAAACTTGTCCTATGCTTTGACCTGTAAAATAAAACTCAAGTGCAGCATTTAATACACACTTTTGTATGTGAACACCAGACATCTCAAATAGTCCTTCTAGTTTACCCTGTAAACGAGGGTTTCAATCATACAATGCAACGGCAGTGAATTGGGGGTGAGGAAACCACTTACTTTTGTATTTATTGCACTTCAACTTGAAAGATCCGATTACAGAAGGTGACTTGTAATCAGTCATATGAGGTTTATGTTTGTATTATGGAAAACAGTACATGTAGTTCCCTCCTGTTGTTCTTTCTGCGCCTCTTTCTTTGACTAACATCCTCCTCTCCACAGGAGGAAGCAGAGCGCTCTGGAAAAGTCTGTATCTGTTACCAAGCGGAATAGCCACTAAAGTCAGGAATTCTGAAGTGATGCCGAAGGCTTCATCCCCAGGGTGCAATCTTTTCCAGACGGCTTCAGAGAACAACTGCACATACACTATGTATCCTGCAGCTAACTAGATTGCTGGGTGCAATGCTCACTTCCTCCCCTTTCGGGTGGCTTTATGCATCTGTGGCTCCTGATTTGAGTGTGGAAATCCTTTTCTACATGCAGAATGTATCTTCTGGATAGGAAGCTAACACTCACATCTTTGACCTGCCCTTTCTGCCAGAGCAGGACTGACCTCATGGCACAGCTGTAGTGTCGCAGGCTGGCAGGATAACCCTGGAACTGCAGGAGATCTCAGAAGCAGGAGGTCCTATCGATGACCCTTGTGATTATGAGGACTGGGGAGAGTTGGAGGGTGCTGACTGCCCTCCCAAGACTATCAACAGAAGCGATGCTCCACTCACAGGGGCTGTGGCACCTGAGAAGCTGAAGCATGTGACTTGATGCCCTCCCCCTTCTGCAGGCGCCTCAAGTTTACCTCCAGGAACAAGGATGGCTGTGTGCCCAGACAGAAACCCAGAGACAACATGCATCAAATGGGAAGAGGAAGCATGCTTTGGATTGTGGCCCCAACTACAAGCCAGGAACGGGTGGGGCAACGACTTCCTCTACCAAGCTGCTCAGCTGGAGCCTGACTCACACTGAGGTAGTATCTCTTATGCTTGCTGCTGGAAAGCTGCTATGCTAACCTGACCTTTCTGGTCCTTGAACCACATGCCTGCCCCTGCAAAGGCAGGAACTGACATCGTACAGTGGCTGAGAGAATGTGTGCCCTCAGGAGAAGGTGCAGGCCCAGCAGCCCTGAAGGAGCCCGTTGCAAAATCTCTTCTAAAATGAAGTGTCCATTCAAGCCCACCAGCCTTAGGAATGACCAATCTATCAGAGGCAGCAAGAGGCTCAAGCACATAATGGCAGCCAGTTTCAGGATTCCTGATAGGAAACCCTCATCTTGGTCTTTTCCAGCCTGGTACTGGGAGTGTCTTGAGTGCTCTGGTAAATGATCTATGCTAGATCAACAGAAGGTGCATCCCTTTCAATTCCCCAAATTTCTCAGAGGCCTAAAAAACTCCTCTCATATTTTTCCATTATTAACCCCTCTCATTGTTTTCCAACTGAGTTCTAGTTCCCATTCAGCCATGAAGCTCGCTGGGTGACTTTGGGCCAGTCCCTCACTCTCAGCCTACCTAACAGGATAAAAATGGAATGGAGGAGGTAGGATATAAATGCAATGCAATAATAAATAAGATTGCACAAGGTATATGTACAGATCTTAAGACATCTCTCCAAATGAGGCCACTGTATTCATCCTGGTTATGCTGCTGGGATGCCAGGTAGGGGTAAAATCACTATACTTCGGTAGCCCCATTTATCTCCTGCGGGCAAATCCTAAAAGGTAGCATTTCTTCAGCGAATACCCTTTGACAAGTGGGATGCTGCAGGAATTAATCTCGTCTCCCATGGTAACTCCTACATGAAACCGGAGTTTATGCAGAGATTTGAGCTAAGTTTCATCAATATGTGGGTGATACCCAACACACTATTCATCCAAGAGACTGAGCAGCAGTTCTGAAGTGGTTCCCAAAGCCACTGATGAACTAGATGTGGGTAAAAAATGAAGCCTTAATTCAAGTGCTGCTGTTTGGGGATTCTGCTGATTTGGGCTGTTACACCATCTGCGCTGGATGGGTGTAACACTCCCATCTTAAAATTCCAATGTGTAGCTTGGAGGAGTAGCCAGGAGCACCTTTTAGCAACTTTGGCTGGAAGAGCAATTGTGCACCTCTCCAGGCATGGTGATCATGGTTAAGTGAAAGGCCAGCTTAGTGGAATGTGTTCTACCACAACTATCTTTAGCAGATTCTGGACACTCCAATTGCATCTGTATGTAGTGACTGGAAAGTCATCTAGTAAAGTTCCCTTGGAGCCTCTAACTTCAGTGGGTATCCTCTTCACTGGACCCAATTCAAAAAACTGTTTTTTGACCTTCAAAGCCCTCAGTGGTCTGGGAAATGTAGATTGTCTTCTTCCATGTGAACCTATTCAGGCATTGATATGCCCTGCCTTGTGCCTTTGTGTCAGGCTGGACCATATAAAAGGGCCTTCTTAGCTGTAGTACCTAGACTACAGAATGTCCTTCCTAGAGAGGTCCCTGGCTTCATCCCTGCTCACTTTATTAAGCAGCAAAAACCTGATTTATTTAGTAAGTATCTGAGTTGGGTAAAAACCAGACCACTCATTCTAATATTATGTAACCTGAATTTCTTTGTTTTGGCCTTTTTAACTTATTCCATTAGCTTTTTAAGTATTTCATGCTCGTTTCTACTATTATGTTAGTCACCATGGAAATCAAAGGGCAAAAATATTTAAAATCAAGCTAATAAGGAGTCACTAAACTTTGATGTCCTTCCTCAAATGGATTAGGTGTAGTAGAACATAATCTTATGCTATATATGCCCCAAGGAGCCTTATGGCTAATGCGGCAGAATAAAACAAACAAATAAAACATACCTTTTAGACAGTCAAGTTTATATTTTCATAAGAGAAGCATCAACTAGAATAGAAAATTAGTCATTTCTTACTCCACTGCACAGATCCCTCTAGGTTAGGGTGGAGAAACTAGTTACACTACTACTTGCAGAAGTAACAGATCTGGGATCATAACCAAGTAAATACTTGTTCAAAATTCCATTACAAATGGTAAAAATGTCTATTTTAAATAGCTATAAATTCACCTGGTAAGTAACTGAAAATTATGACTACAGTTGTTCTTATACTTGGAAATCTAATTTACAAAGGCATTATCAATATATGTTTTTAATAAATTTCCCATACTGAAAAGTAAAGAAAAATACTACCTTGATAGTATTATCTACCCAAATGCATGTTGAGGCCAAGATAGAAAAATAGCATAATATACACTACTGTTAATTTTGTATGGCCAGCTTTGTATGCAAGAAGACACATCACTTCATTTATGCATGAAGTTCTATGCATCTTTACTTGGGAGTAAACTCCACTTAATACAAAAGCTAGTTTACAACCTGTTTGCAAGCTTTTAAGTCTCCCTAAAGTCCACATTATTTATAACCACACAAACACTCAGTACAGGATTGCAGCCTGAATCTTCATCAACAACAGGGTGGATTCAACAGGGAAAAAACAAGGCCTTCCTTGACAAACAGGCCCTGAAAAATTCAGCTAGACATAGGAAATGTTGTATGAAGCATTTTTGTGAAAGTCAGTGCCACACAAGATACTAAGGAGCATTTTTGAGCTGTGACTTCTTTATGGAACCTGCCGTACACCACTGAATCCCAACTGCTGAGGAGCAGCAAAAACCTAAGATCCATTTAGCTGGATCCAGGACCTGCTTTCCATGAAAGGAAGGGCCCTACTCAGGAAAAGTCCATCTACCCAATTTCTGAGGATCTTTCACACACATCTCACTCCAATCAGGGGTTCCTGATTGTTTAGCAGGGGCTAGCATGAGAATGAACAGGTGGAGAAGTTTGCTTCTATCAGCAGCTGATTCAGCATATATCTGGATACAAGTCCTGCTTGTAGGCTTGCTGCTTGCATCTGTGCCACTGGATGAGATGTAATCAATGGTCTAATCCAGTCTTCTATACTATTTGTGCCCTAGCAGTAAATTCAGAACAGAACATGGAAGAGAAGTTAAATATACATACTTGGTGATGGAGGTTTACATGTATAGGACAGGCCAATATAAAGTAACACAGATTTAAGTTTCCTGTTTTGTGAATATACCAAAGATTTGGTACTAAATATTCAGGAGATTTAAAAAGACATAAATGTATGCTACAAAAGGATCTAATGCACGCATGCGAAGAATGGTCGCATTACTATATGTGTGCATATTTTCTGAATCTATTGAATTCAAAGTCTAGTTACTGCAAGTGTAACATCTAGTGGAAGAGTAGAAAGTGAATTATATGTAATTCCCCATGATCACAATCCAATGCATAGCTAGACAGGCTTCATCCTACTGATTTCAGTGGACTAAAAATGTCTTCTCTAGATAACTAGCACAAACACAGTATGTGTGAATGGGACCCACCAATCTTAGGTAACCTTTGCTATTGCCTAAGTGTGCGCAATATTGGCAGCTATATTAATTTTTAACTTTTATTTTGTTGCTGTACAGGAGTGAGATGTCTCTAAGAATATCAGGTAACCAGTGTGTTAGAGTTCACCCCAAAAAGCCCTTATATGTGAATGTCAACTCCATAAAATTTAAAATCCCCTTTATTTTGAAAACTGTCTAGTTATCATTGGGAATTCACTTAATTCTGTAAGCACAGAGGATTGGTTTGCTCATTTGAATCCACATTTTTCCAAAATAATACTGAAAGAGCTGAGATGAGTGGAGACAATAGGTAAAGCGGGTATAGGGAGCATGTTGGTTTGCAACTTCCATCATTTCTCACCACCTGCTATGCTGATTACTGTTGATGGAAGTCCCCCAACATCTGGAAGACCACAGACTCCCCACATTTAATATAAAGAACAACAGAAATATTCCAGAAGTCTGGTGAAACAAAGCCTGAACTCCCCTCCTTCCTGCCCTACAGTTTTCAGCACAAAGTTAATTCTGTTTACTGCCCAAGGCCACTCCAACAGTTTTAGCAACACCCTGACGTATTGCCTAGCAAGTAGGAGTTGGGAGTTGCCACAGCAAAGATAACTTGATTCCAAGAGCTCACCAAGGCTTTTTGGGGATCTGTTCCCAGTACCAGCACCCAGACAAAATCACATGATGCAAGAGGAACAGAGTACCTCTGAACACATGCAGACTATCCACATGTTGCACCAGCTTCTACACAGAGAGTAGAAGGGACAGGCATTCATAGAATGCCACTTCTATGGAGGATGGAAGCTCCTACACTGTCTTTTAGAAATAAAGCAAAGTAAGCTATGACAGCATAGTTAAAAGTTGCCTTTGGATTTTGGAGGCACTTCCTACCTAGCCAAAAGAAGCCAGGGCTGCAGGCTCAGTCATGGCCCCTCCATCCATGCAAGAGCATGAGCAAGGGAAGATGTGTCTGTCTCCAACTAAATACATTCATGTTTGTTTATAGCTTGCTACTTGTTCTGGCACTGCTAAACTTGTCTCCCTCCTCTACCTTTCCTCTCTTCCCCATTTGCTGCTTATAAATCTGAGGATGGAGCCTGTTGTCTCTCCTCAGTATTTGGACCTGCTTTAGGAGATGCCATTTGTCTGAAGGGTGTGATGGAATGGAATACACAAATAATGCTCCTCAAAGTCCTTTAACAAGAGATGCCCAGGTGTGGATCTGGCTGCTTCTGAATGCCAAGAGACACTTCCCTTCTCAGCCCAACCTCTGGAAAAGCAAGGAAGAACCAAGCTGCCTCAACCCGGTTTCAACTCAGTGGATCAATCTGCCAGAACTCTGTGACTCAGTTCCCCACTCAGCAAAATAAGCAAGAGGGGTCCCCAAATGCAACAAGACTGTTTTGCCACAAGTTGAAGTAACATGTTACCATCCAGAAAGGTAGAGAGGAGTGCAAGACCATTAAGTCTTGAATGATGCTTCCAAAAGGAGAACCTTTTGAGTCTTGTTCAGCAAAAACAATGAAGAGTTTTGTGGCATCTTCAAGATGGCCAAATTTATTTTGGCATAAACTTAAGTCAACTACAGCCCACTTCAGATGTATGGCAAGTTGTCAAGCGTTTCAGGTATAAACAGTACACATACATGTTTGTGGAGGAGGGTATTTTATGCAGTGGCTACAAAAAAAACAGCCCTTTTCCAGTATAATCCTGGGATGGTAAAACACCCCATCTCCAAATGCAAGTGTTTGTGGAGTCAGATTGTAAATTGAAAATGTTAGAAAAAATATCACGAACTGACAAAGTAAACCTTAAGTAAGTTTGTGCCAAGCTACAGCTATCAGGGAGTACTTAACCTGTTTCCCTACACCAATTTTATTTAGAAATTGGAGATTTTTATACCCTAATACACTGTTCACATTAGGGCATAAAAAGACCCGAAACGGCAACATGAATAGATGTTTGGAATGTTAAATATCCCAAGCATCTTTTTGTTTTGTTTCCAAACACTAAGTGGCCAAAATTCAGGAACATTATGCAGATGACAGAATACAACAAAACCATGTGAAGTCTATACGCTTGGCCTATCTCTGTGTAAATTCTACAATGCAAAGTGCACTCTGGATAGGGCTGTCAACCTGCCATGTCAGTGGAGGGTTTTTAATATTTTTCTATGTAAACTGCTTAGAGATGTTATTATATTAAGTAGAATAAACTATTATCATAGTTAATAATGCTAATAATATGGTGAGACCAATTCGATTCATTCCGGGATTGCCTTCTGCAAAACACTCGATTCAGTAGCGTCTTCCTGACTTCTCTGCATATTATTTTCAAGGAAGCTGAAGGGGCTGTCCTGGAAAAGGGGGCAGAGAGATCCGCTTCCAGCAGCACAGCTGATCCAGCACAAATCTGGATCCAATCCCATGAGATCAGAGGAAAATTCAAGGCAAAAAGTACAGACCATTCGCACCACGTTGTTATGGAGCCGTTCACAAAAAGTTGTGGATGAGACAAACTTCCTGGCACCGGCTAAGCCAAATTCATACAGACGCAGCGTGATACAAATCCTTCAACCCGATTCAGGCCGCGGTGTGAACGCAAGTGCCGAGGGGGCGACCTCTCCACTCCCAGAGCCCTGGAGCTCCAGCTCTGACGAAGGCGCCGTCTCTCCCCAGCTCTTACCTCTCGGCTGGGCAATTCGTTCCTTCCTCCGCAAGCAGGGCTGGCAGCGACTCCCGCCTCGAGGTCCTGGCTCCCTCGCCGCCTGCACTGCCCGTCGCCGCCGCAGCCGCAGCCACAGGCGGGGGGCCCGCGCACTCCCTCCGGGCTACAGGGCTCGCCCCCTGCGGCGGACCGCTCGGGCAGCTCCGCCTCGCTCTCCCGCGCTAGCCGAGCGGCCACGCGCCCGGCGGGGAAGCGAGGCGCCCCCGGCTGGAGGAGTGGCCGCTGCGCCGCCAGCTCGTCCTTCCTGTCGCTGGAATCCGCCTCGGCGGCGGGAGCGGGGGGACGCTCGCGTCGAACCGGAGTGCGGCGAGGCTGGCCCGGAGAAAGCGCTTCTTCGAGCAGCAGCAGCGCCGACGCCGCCTCGGCGCTTTCATCCCTCCCCCTGCCGCTCGCTTCGCGCCGGGCAAGAGCAGAGCACGTGTGGCGGCGCGAAAGAGGAAGGAAGCGCCCGCGCCTTCGCTCCCTGCTCGGTGGCTGCCGCTGCCCCCAGTTGCCGCGCCGGGGCAAAGGGGCAGCGGCGGGCTGAGGCTGCGAGGGAGCTCCCGGACTCGGTCTTTGCTGCGGTTCCGCCCGCTACAGGCACGAATGGATTCTTCCAATAGAAGAAGGCGGGAGGAGGGGGAAGGAAGGAGGAGGAGGAGGAGAAGTTAGGGAAGGGAACACGTGTGAATGGCGAGTGATGGGAGGGGAGGGGTCAAGAAAGGGGACGGCATGACAGAACTGGGTCAACAGGCGTTACTCAAAGGAACGGAGGGAAGAACCTTTAAAGCGGCCTTTCCCAATCTCCAGGTATCTTGCGCTACAACTCCCCTTTGGCTACGCGACTTGAGGCTGTTTGCAGAGCCCCAGATTGTGGAATGCAGGTTTAAAGCATGAAGAAGATCTCTTGTCTCCAGTAGGATTTCAGGAGCATGCTTGCTTGTGTTTATTTAAGGTTTTGTTGCATCTGAGCTCCAAGTGATGGTGCCTCCCCTGCACCACCACCACCCTTTATCCTTCCATGAACCCTGCAAGGTAGATAAGATGGAGAGTTGGTGGCCAGCTTGATGGAGATTTGAACCTGGTCCAAAGTTGACACTGCTGTACATACACTGATTCTGATCATAAGTTTACTGAAACCAAATATTGGCCAAAGCTTGGAGGCAATAACATTTCCACCACTTCCTTGTTTTGGAGGGCCCAAGATTCCCTGGGACCCATAGGCTCTCCCCTCCTAGAACCAAACAACTCCCTCAATGAAGCCCACTCAGTAGTTTCAGGGTCCTGCAGTCCTGGAGCCTGTTTTTATACTACTGCAGCAGTGTGGTCGCTGCCGTCGCATAGCTGCCTCTGTGCTATTTGCTGTAGCTTGTCCTGCTTCTGCCACTGCGATTAGTGTGGATGATGTGGCTATGCATCACACTTGTGCAACCCTCCCTGTTGAGCAATACCAGTAGTAGACTGTGTAATTGGAATGCTCCTGCCTCATAAATAAGCATTGCATATAGATGCATTAACTACAGACAGGTTTGACAGGTCCCTACTTCCAAGGTACTTAGAATCTAAAAGCAAACACAGGGGAAAGCAGTGGAAAGAGCAGGAGACAACAGTGCTATTATTTAACTTACACATACTTTGGCCGAGGTCAAATAGTGTTGTGGCTATCAGAGGTGACTTTTGAGAAGTTCCTTAATCTTTGCTAAAATAACTTGTTTCCACCTTTTGCTATTCATCCCTGGCTTTGCAAAACCTTCAGATGTTTTGCATTCCTGTGGATATCAAATTTCCTCCCTAAATGTTATGCCATTTCTGACACAGTTTTCTGACCTTTACTCCATGCACAATTGTCTGTGTGCAGAGTTGTCTTAAAGTGGAAAAGAACGATCAGGATCATCAAAAACCACAAGAACTAGCAAAATGTACTGCAGGACATACACAGAGTGAAGAACCAGAGTCAGATGTCAATAATGTAGGTAGGATGAGCTGATGCGGTCAGCAAAAACCAGGCAGGGCAGCAGGCAGATGGGGTGTTTTGCCAGGGATGGCCTACCAAGTCAGGTTGTGCACTCTCTCCTTGAAGCATACATTGGCATACCTGGTTTCTACTGAAGGCGGTGTTTTGCTTGTGCTAATTGAGAGGAACTGACCTGTTGCAGTGTCCTGGGTGGAGATGCCTATGGGTGTGTTGCATTGTCAAGTGCAGCTCCTGGTATTACCACTGTACTTATAAGCACAGCTGACTTCCCAGTTAAATTTCTCCCAGGGTAAAGGGTTGAGGCAGGCAATCATGGATTCCTGCTGCTTTCTACTGCAATCAAGCTTCAAGGGGTGCAGAACCTCTTCCAGCCTGAGGGCAAATTCAATGCAAAGATGCTCTTGGCTGCATTCCAGTGGTGTGTGGGGCCAAAGACAAAGGTGTGGGATCAAAAATAGCAGCAGAGTCTTGCTTAAAACTCTTAGCATCAGTAATTAGGCCTTAGGAGAGGTATTTTAATCTTTTAGAATGAGGAAAAACTGCACAAAAGCCAATAAGCCACCCAGGGCCTGAGGTTTCCCACCCTTCATTTATGAGATCATTCTAATTTTGTCAGGTATATAGAAGCAGGAAAGAAAATTACACTAGGAACTAAAGATTTATTCCTATTTATTCACAGTCCATGATTTTGTTAGAGGAAAGCTGCATAGGTACATTCCGTCCACAGTCTTAGCAAATTGTTTAAGTGGAATTTATTGCCTTAGCTTGAGTAGGTACATTTATTACTTGCTCCGCTAGTAGATGAGTTGGATGCAGAGTTAGACAGGTGTACTGGGACTGATGGGAACAAACTGTGTTGCTGCCTCCTCTTGGCAGTAGTCTCTCCAGCCCTCTACAAGTGCTACATGGAGAGTCAGGGACCCCTGCTAAATAAGATGAGCTGTGGAACAGGGAGGGGGAATCCCTGAAAATCAGGCAGCAGTACCTTCCATTCATTGAGTTGTTCTCAAAAACTGGAGAAAGCAGGCTATCAGACTGAAGTCTCTGGCTTGAGCAGAGTTTTGTCCAAGTCTGTAAGGGAAATGAACAAAATGATTCCACCAGTGACTATCCTGGAAAAAAATGTGCCATTTGGATTTGCATTTCTGAGTTTAGATACTGCTCCCAAAGCAGGGCTCTCAGACTTGGACATAAGTTGGTCTCTCTGACTAACCCCTTCCACCCTGCACACGAAATGCATTGTTTTTGTGTAACTGAGGAAATATAAGGGCCAATGATTCACCTGTTGGCCTCGCCTATCATCCTTCACTTGGGGAAAGTGGGTCAGATGAAAAAGGAGAAGGCTTGGGCAACTGTGGCATACTCAAGTGGCAGCAGTGTGTGGGAGTTCTTTTATCTGGAAGCTGCGCAACATTTGTGTGTGGGTGTTGTGTTGACAACCTTCCTTTTCCATGACTGGCATCAGCACAGAAAACCACTGTTTCCCAAACTGGTTGGTTCCATAGGAGAAAATGAAGTGCCAATTATGTTTATGGAGGGTTTCTACACCTCCATAGGGTGCTTATATGGAGAATTTCATTCCATTCACTTTTTCTATTACATTTCTATACCACCAAATAGCCAAAGCTGTCTGGGCGGTTACAAAGCTTAAACCTAAAAATACATTAGTAAGGCCATGTATCTATAAACATGCAACACGCAGAGATACAGGTATCTAAGAAGATTTTTTAAAGATTCTCGGGTTGCTGGGCAATAAACTCCAGGCTAGCTAATGCAACACCATCAAAAGTACCGGCCTCTCATACTCGTGGAGTGGGAGGTTCTGGCACTGGCGCACAGCCAGAGCTGCTTCAGGAGCAAGGCTGCTGCCACCAGAAGAGCCCACCCAGCTGCACCTGTGCTGCCTCTGTTTCGCACAGCTGCCCTTTCAGCCCAGGGGTCTCAGTCGCTTTCAGAGAACCTCTTGCATTCCAGTGATGGGTGGGACCAATGGAAAAACAGGTAGGGCCAACAGCAGAAATACCGGCATATTTGAACTTAACCCTCTTACTCCTAAGTAGGCCTTAGGAGAGGCATTTCAGCCTCCTAGAATGGGGGAAAATGGCACAAAAGCCAGGATACCACAGAACATTATCAGTGATTTGAATAAAGAGGATGAGGCTTGGATGACTGGAGTGGGATCCCAGTTGACTTAGCCCATGGACCTAATGTTTAAAATCACTGCAGGATGGGATAGGAACAGGTCTATGGTACTGAATTATGTCTCCTTCTTACATTATCCCAGTGTGGTAGAATTGGGAAAACATAAGCTCAAATCCCCACTCAGCCTTGGAGCCCACTGAGTGATCTTGGGCCAATTTAGGCCTCAGGTGGGTAGCCTGGTGCCCTCCAGATCTTCTGGACTTCAGTCCCATCAGGGACAGCTGCCTTTGCCTGGGTCTGACTCAGGCTCCATCTAATTCAATCTTATCTGCATGGGCTGGCAGCAGGCGTTCTCCGATTTCAGGCAGGAGGTTGTTCTAGTCCTACCTGGAGATGGTGGGATGGAGCCTGAGACCTTTAGCATGAAAGGGACCTGCTGTTGCGTGGAGATACACCTCTTCCTCAGCACCAGCGAGCATGGCCAGTGGCTAGGGATTATGGAAGCAGAGGTGCAAAACCTTTGGAGGGCACTGGGCTGGCCTATCCCTCCTCATACTCTAGGAGCAAATTGGAGGAAGGAGCTAATACATAGGAGAAGTCACTATTCCTAGATTGAATGTTGGTTGCTTGACTCCAGACATAAGTAGGCCCACATAAATTGAATCATTTCATAGGGATTTTGAAAATGCTGTAGACTTGGGTATGACCCTCAATGGGTAGGGATTAACCGGACACATGCATTTAACATTGTACTTTATGTTGTTCGTCAGTCTACGTTTTAAAATCCTACTTAATTTTAGGATTTTTGAAAAGCTTTTTGAGAAGAATTCAAAAATTACTTAAGTAATCTTTACATTTTTATATCTAAGTTTTGGACATGTTAGATGTCAACAAAATATTTGTCCATTTATAAGCTATTATTGGTGGTTATTATTGTTTTAATCAGTTATATGCAACATAAAAGAAATAGAGACCTCTACTGGCTGTACTGT